TGATAAAAGAAATGTATTTCCTCTTTTTTATTCATCTTAACTTTCTCCAACAGTTCCTGCCAGTGCTCATCCAGTGTATCCTTCGTTAAACCTGGTACACCCCATTCTTTACGATCTTCGTGATCTGCCATTTTAACATTAAGATGAATTTAAAATAATTCGAATCGAAAGTTGATTTTTATTCTACTTCCTGTTAAAATACTACTTCCCGTTAAAGAACACTATGTAAACTGGTACTGTGTGTCTATATTTTATCGGAAATTAAACACTAAGGTTATCAATTGAATAATAAAATTAGTCAATACCTAACTTGATCGATTTTGAACACTGCGTTCGACGACTTAATGTTTATCAAAACTGATTATCGACAATACAAGATACGACTTGTTGTATGTTTAGTATGACATTATATTATCTTTATATCCAAAACATGATACATGTACTTTTGACATTATCATTTGATTACACATTATACAGAGGAAGTTTAAACGGTTATATGACATTTGTTTTTAACCAATAACTTCAAAACTCCATTTGTGAAAAATGGCCGTTTTCATTGAAAAGTCTCCCGTTAAAAGTTCAAATTGCCATAAAACTATAAAAACTGCTTCAATTCTTATCAAACTTGGCACAAATGTTGACTGGACCATTGCCTTTGTAACAACATGCTCAGGCTTAAATTTCCTGTTACCATGGCAACGAGGGGACATCAAAATTGCCAAAAAATCACTATTTTGCGTTGATTTTTTTTCATCAAAATTGATTTCAAAGTGCTGCAACTTTTCAATGGATTGAGATAGAGTCAAATGCTTTTCAGCGTTGGTTAAACGTTACCTAATGATCGATCTGGGGTCATTTTTAAGGCTCTCACAAGTCCAAAAAATCTTGGCAGGACACATTTCTTTCAGTATTTGAGGCCTAAAAGAAGGGGGGGGGGGGGTCGAAAGTGCGTTGTTTCGCGTATGTATAAGGTAAAGGGTTAAATGTTACATTTAACCGTTTTGATTGATAACTTTGACACTAGCATTTGGAACTTCACCGAGCGACCTAGGTCTATGTCTACCTTTCTCTTTAAATTAAAAAAAATAAAATAAACGCATACATTAATAAGAACTGTCGGAGGACAGCAACGCGTGACTATTCGTAAAAGTTGTCACAAGGGTGTTTCATTGAGTAAAATAATGCTTACCTATATGAATAAATTGTCCGAAAAAGGTACAAAGGCTTGTTATTAAGATGTTTTATCGAGTAAATCACTGAATGCATAAAATTGCCCCCCCCCCCAAAAAAAAAAGCACAAACCCTTCAGTAGTTATGGAGATACCAGCTTACTAGCAAAAACTTTACCAAGAATTTCTTGCCGAAAAAGGGACATTATTATGCAAAAAAGCAAATCAGAGTTATGGGACTTGTGCCAATCATGTTAGATAATCACATAGGTGTGTGAAGTTTGCATAGTTTAAGTTTATGCTAACTTTCATGAAACTCTTGAAAATGTGTTTAAGATCAAAATATTGTTAAGTGAACAAAGGAAGTAATAAACACATTGTAAACGACACTTACAATCCATCTAAATTACCAAAAAGAGGTAAAAATATTCATTTATTTATTTATTTATAAACAAAAACTCATGGTCCTTAAGGACATAAGAGTGAACAATCAAACAATACAAATAATTATACAAACATGGCATAGAAGTAATTTAAATTATCCCTTACTGCGTTAGTAACGCAGTAGAATTATGGTGATTGATAATGCAAAACCCAATCTTAAATCGCACATAACATGCAAATCAATAACTGATTCTTGAATCTCTTTACTTTTCTAAAAATCTGAATACATTTTTTTTTCAAGTTTGATTTTCTTGAAATATTTTGGCTCATCTGGAGGCGTGCAGCTTTAACTCATTCTATTTCCTTATCCTTTGTTTACAAATAAATATTATTTACCTCAAAGATGTAAATTGAATTAATTTTGTTTTCTTCGAATTTCCAATACGCTTTACCCAATGGCGGAGCCTGAATAATGCATCTCATTATAATATTCTCATGTTCTAAGTGACGTCACCGCGGACGTCGACACTTCCGGTGCGACTGCATTGGTATGCAAGAAAGTTGGATACTGAATAAAGAAATGTAGAAAGGAAGTCTAATAAAAAGAAACATTGCAATGTCAGTTACATATGAACTATTTTATAAATGTTGAACACTTTCATAAGAGATAAAGTAGACAGATTTTATAATTTTCAGTATTTCAAATACTCATAAAAAAACAACAAAAGAATTGTATCATTTGGATAATCTTAAAATGTTGTTTGAAAATAAGATAATCAAACTCTGGTATGACCATCCTAATGCGGAAGAGTATTTAAATAGGCTCGAACTACTGTAAACTGCATTGACATTTAGGGCCGTGGGTTCAACCCCATAAAGATTTCTTTTTTTTTTCTTTCTGTTTTTTCCTTTTAATATTATTAATGTATCTCTCATATGCTTTCGAAAGAAAAGGGTGTTTAATTTTGTTTAATTGTTTAGGTATTTATTGGCTAAATAACGATTAATCGTACAACAAATATTGTACGTGATAATTTCAAAGTCTCAAAGCTACAAGTTAAAAGTATTTAATTATTTACAAAATCAAGCAATATATTTTGAGAAAATTGAGAGAAACTTATAACAGCCGCTCATTTTGGTTTAGAAAAGTGTAGTTAGCGAAACTCTGTCATTTATTTTCTTTGTTTGTTTTGTTTTTCTTTTAGTTCAGTGTTGTTACTATAATACAAATCAAGTTTTGTTTTTTAACGTCTTTATTTGATCTTTGATCTCATTATTATTATTGTGATTTACATGTCATTTAACATGACCCTTGATTGGAAATAAAAGTTATCATTTTCTATTCTAATCTATTTTATTCTATTCTGTTTTATTCTATTCTATTTCATTCTATTCTATTCTTTTGGTAAATTTTAGGGATTGATTTAATTACGCTCTGGTCAAACTTATGTTAAAAGGGTGGGGTAGGTTAACTTAATACATTTTGAGTAGAAACAATCATTTTGCTTGTGTGGATTGTTAGCTGAATGTTATTATTTGTTTCTTAACAATAATTAATGGATAAAATAGGTTCATCATTTCTTAAAAAGGGCGCTCCTAACATCCAAGCTGAAGTTCAGAAAAATGACCATAACTCGTTTTCTGTACGGTAAAGTTTGTTTAAAATTTTGCATTGCAAATAGGGTGTCCTTTAAGGTATATATCTGACCTATGTCGTCAAGTTTTCAGTTCATAATAGTGCCCGTTAGGGTTGTCATACCTTAATTAAATGACGTTCAGTTTTGACGCCACTCACCTCCGTGGATGTATATTTTGCTGTGTGCCTTGATTCATTCGTGGGTCTTCATTAATATAAACAAATTGTTCGCGTAGTTTTACTCAGTTTGTGAAACGGCTATGCTCATCTTTATTTTGGTTCAATCTATTCAAAGGGACTTTAATAATTGAGCAACCAATATTACATGGCCTGGTCAGACTGCATGGATGTAGGTACTCGTGGGCAAGGGCCAACCACGTATGCATGGAATGTCAACCGATGTATTCCTAAAGTATTCCTTTAGCAGTAAAGCTGAAAACAAAAAACAAAAACAATATGATCTTGACAGTGAGTAAATCAAAATCGAAAAAAATAATGTAATACATCGGGGATAAATTATTCTCAGTTGAAATCACCATTTAGGACTTACTTTTAGTTAACACCAATTAGGTCGATTGTGTTGGAAGCTATAAGTTTATTGAAACACTCTCGAATCCGTTCCTGGAACCAACCAGTACTAGGCAATGAATGTAAATTTTCTAGCTCAAGGAAACAACGGCTTGTCCATGACAGGGTTTGAATCCACACGGTCAGAAATCCTTAGATTACTAGTCCGACGCGTTAACCAGTCAGCCACGCCGTCGCTTACTTTTAAAATATACTATGCTCAAAAATATTGATAATTGCCCTTAGTTTATAAATATAAAATAAACTCACAAAAGTAGATATGTAAAGTTTCAGTAGATATGTTATGTTTCAAGTTCTACGCACTATAGGTGGTCACAATATGAATGCATGTATTTTATAGTGTCATTAAAAAACTGGCAGTTTTTCTTAAAAAGGAACAACTTTAATTTACACGTAAAAGGCAATGCAGCTTCCCATGCATAATTTATTAATTCTTTTATTCAAATTAGACATATTCAGTGAGAATTTCATAAATTTCAATAAATTTCTGTGATTAAAATAATTTACTCAAGGATGATGAGCATAGTGCATCTGAAAATAAGCAAGTTAAACAGAAAAAACATATATATATCTTTATCAAAATACCGTATATTAATCTACATGTATTTTATAAAATCAAAAGTAGAAAGGGATAACTCTTAAATGCAAATAAACATCTGAAAATTGTGTTATCTTTCTTTAATGTCTTAACAAGAAAGATAAAAAACCTTGAATATATAATTAAACTATAAAGAAGAAATATGATCGACAGCGAAATAAAAGAAATAAGATATTTCTTAATCCATGTGAAAAAAAAATTAGTTTCTACAAATGTTGCATTTAAATTCTAATTCAAAGTAAAGCTAGAACAATGTTTTTCGTATATTTGATTAATTTTAAAAAATAAAATTTAGAACCTGTTAATAAAATATCCCGATTATTTTTTTTACAAAGTTATCATTGTAACTTTGAACCATTTGTCATTCTAACGCGGCGGCATTATTTCTAGTAATACACCAGATTCCACAGATTCTCTCAATATGCTTTAAAAGTCTCAGCACGAAATTAAAATTATTTTTAAAACATTTTACATGGACTTTTTTTTTCTCAAGAAATCAGTAAATATACAGAAAGTAATTATAAAACAGACAGCACGTTCTGTATCCGCCAGAAATATCAGTGGTGCACATATGCTCGAAAGATGATTAATAAAGATTATTTTCATGTCTCTTTTTTATTTAGCTGTTGAAGATGCGTATCAGTACGCCTCTATGGTAGTAGTAAAAGAGTGTAGATGCTGAAAAAACTCGTGAAATGATTTCTGTGCGGGTAATCAGAAATGTCAGAATGTTAGAGTAACTGCATCACTTACATGCGGGGGGATTACTAAAACTTGGCTAATAGTCGTGTTCTACACCGTGTTCACATAGGTACGGAGAGAAATGGATGTTATTGTAAGAATAAGTGCCTCGGCTGACAAAAACTTGGAATTATCTGTGAAATAAACAGAAGGTTATTTCATAGGGCTAATAAAACACAAATATTCGCTTTTATTTATTTATTTGATGGAATAGAAATTCTTAACGAATATACCGGAAATTAAATTTTGATTTGTACCGCATATATAGTTAAAGTTTATTTGTTTTATGTGCATCCACGATGTCCGCAGATCTTGATAATCAACCGTATGATAATGTGGAGTTTCCTATACGGAGACCCGCACCTGGAACCCAAGGGGGCTGGATTAGTCCAAACATGACCCAAGCCCAAAGAGACCATTTGGTGATGGGTTCTGCCACCAAAGAGAGGACACACACACTGGCACCAGTTGTTGAAAGTGGGACGGCAGAAGAAGAAGGAGAGGAATCAGAGATTAAGGTCGAAGATCAAAGACAAAAGATCGGCACTCCAACAACTTATACAGCCGGTTCTACAGCGTCTTCACAATTCAATAACGTAAGTTATAGTTGAAAAACAGTATTATCTTCATTAGTATTGGTGTCATCATATAAATTAATCTAATATTTTAGATAACTTAAGTGTATTAGTTATAATATTGTTCCCGACATCATCATCTCCATCATCATCATCGTCATCGTCATTATCATTAACCGGAAAATTTTCAAAATATTTATAATTTTTTCACCAGGATTATTTATTTATTAAACAGAAGTGTGTTTTCGTTTATCTTCAGTTGGTCTGCATCTTACTTATTTTATACCTAATTCTCACAAATGTGTTTCCACTAAATATAGTTTTAATACTTAACTTTAATAATGAAATTTGAGAATGATTTCTTTCCTTTACTGGATGTTGCATTAAAATGACCACATTAACATAATTGCATAGGTAATGTAATTGTTGGTATACCAGGTGTTTAATATATCCAATACTATCTCATCAGGTCAATATATCTGATGCATTATACAGTCACTCGCTAAGTTAGACAATACTTTTCATCTTTTACATTTATCAAAATATGTAATCTGTTAATAATCACAAATATTATATCATTTGATCAATATATTTTATGACATGGACTCTTAGTGTTTTATGAAGAACAAATCCCAGCACTTGTCCCATTAAAATGTATTTTACATATTTGTAATGCCAAAGCGTATTCATAAGATATATCATGTCTTCGAGTTAAATTGGAAAGTTGACTTCCACTCCTATTTCGCTGTATAATGCTACAAGGTGAAGTTATTTAACTACAAGGTATCGAGGTATATATTGTATAGATAAGTATATACAGTGGGGGAAGTTTATCACCTGCAGAAACCATTATAAAGATGATATCTTACCTTAGATATTCACAATGCACTCATTCTGTCTGTAAATATTTGTTGTAATGATAAAGGAAGATTCTTAAAGCTCCAGTCTTTAACTGAATAAAATTCTGATAAATTTGATACACATTTTGAAAAATATGATTAATCAAGGGCTAGTAAATTTCTGAAATCCGTATAACAATTATATAAATTTTATCTATATGTAAGGTATATGTTAGATATATGTCTTATGTATTTGTCATGTATATGTCAGGTATATGTCACAGGTTTGGTAATATCTCCTTTCAGTTTCTTGCAATTTTACTACAATTCCTTTTCTGTATGAATGTATTTATGTATATATATGCTATTTTCATAAGCGCATATTGAAAAGCGCGATTACTTGACCAGCTCCTATCTGCTAATTTAACAGAATTAGCAAAACATCTTTTGTCGTTTTCATTGCATAGTCTTTAAAATGAAATATACGTCTTGATTCAATACACATTTTTTTTCATTTGAATACGACAAGAACATTTAGTTAATTCTAGGTTAACTTTAAATTTACCCCAACTGAACATCAAAACCTCTTCGTATTTCGATGGACGCTGTTATTGCTATAAAGTAAAAGCAATAAACTCCGACAGAGGAATGACAAAAAGGTGTCGGAGTTTGAGTAATGTGTAGTTTTGTTTGGCAAAATTACATCTGGAGCTAATAGTAAATGCTCAAGAATAGTGAAGAAGTCAATTACACAGGTGATTTTAATACAATAAATGTGTTAATATACCTTTACCAGTTATAATAGTACTTCACTAAACTCATGGCATTTTCTATTTCTTTTCTCACGAACGTTTATCTGATTCTTTTTGATAACTGCTGTAAATTTCTTTAGATAATTAGAAAACTTAATCGTTTCGAACTTCTTGTTTATAGACATAACCTGAACATTCAGCACAGCAGGTAATTGTTATCAACAAGACATCTTATTTTTTATCCGACGATATTTTCACAATGAACTTTAGAAATGTTAGGTTGTATCCAGTAAAGATAAGAAAGTTTGAAGAATGTTTTTAACAGAGACTGTTTCTATGACCATTTTGAAAATGCACGAAATGCGAAAAAAAAACTAGCAAAAAGATAAGATGAAATTAACAATCAGAAACTCATAACCATGGCAAAAGCAATTCTACTTCCAATTAAAGAAACATTTTTTGATTTAAACATATTTTATTGCTCTTTTTTTTTACACATTTATAACATTATATTATCATAGTATCAATACAAAAGTAGCAAAAGGGTTGAACCACGAGTTCTTACAACATCAGCAAACGGTTCTTCCCTGATATATTGAATTATCTAATAATAATAAGACAGTTACAAACCAAAATGTATGATAGTAGAGCAATTAGGGAAAAATGCACAAGGAGAAAGAAGAAGAAAAGCATTACATAAAAGGAAAAAAAAAAAAAAAAAAAGGGGGATAGAGTTCAGTAAGTAGGGATATCAATTAATCGTGGCAAGTAGTACAGATAATATAAAAAATTAAGATTCAAATCTACACGATAATTTAATAAATAATTGTACCTTATCAAAAATAAATAAGTTATTCTCATCAGAAAGAGATTCTTTTCCAAACAAAAGGGTCTTTACGCTTAAAGGATGGAAAACTGCGAGTTGAGCGGAATAACTGCACTCTTATTTCGTTATATTTGGGACATTTTAAAAAAGTAATGTTCGGCATCTTCAATACTGGATGTACAGTAGCTACAAAGTGAGTTATCTCGTAGATGATTTTTACAAAGATCCGCATTAAGATTACTACATTCGTTTCTAATACGTGCATGGTAAACAGATAAACTTCGATCTCCGTATACAAAATATTTAGGAAAACAGTATGTGGTTTATAAATTTCTTTGAGACGAGATTTAAAAATATTAAGAGAAGCCGCATGTCTAATATGATCATCCAAATTGTTCCATAACTCTATGGATGAAGGAATGAAAGATTTTGCGAATATTTGTGTTCTCCGTGCGATTGTCACATAGTTGTTATCATTTCGGAGGAAGTATGGAGTAGAATTAGCGACCTTTTTGGGAAAAATTTAGTAAGTATTTGGGAACATTTTTTTTAGGGTTTTGAAAAACTATTATTTTTTTTTGCAAAATTTTCTATCCGAAAAAGATCCCCACCCAAATTTTCTCAAAAGAAACGGCTATAATACCATCTAGAGGCCTTTGGACAACACCCCGTGTAAAATTGATTTTTCAAGAGAATGTTTATATTTCATACAGCCATCCCAAAAACAGGGGAGGATTTTTCAATTTGGCGCATATATGATAAAAAAATTTGATTAATGATTTCGTTTGAGTTTAAATTTCAATGATTCATTGAGTTAAACTTTAAACTGATGTCATAATATTATTAATTTTTTCTGCCATTTTCCATTTTTCAAATTAAGCCCAAGATTTTTATCGTTTTTTACATAAGAAATTGGGTTTTTTTCAAAAAAAGAAAAGGGGGTTTCCATCATTTAAGGAAAAAAAACATTACTTCTGTTTTATCTGGATTAAATTTAATTAACCACTTATGGGACCATTCTTGAAGAGTATGTAGATCGGTATTTAATGTGTTTTCTATAAAATTCATATTGCTAGAGGAAATCGACAACGAACTATCATCTGCAAAGAGGGGGTTATGCTTAATAGATTATCCGCAATATCATTAACGTAGATTAGAAATAGTAACGGACCCAGGACTGATCCCTGGGGAACGCCCGCAGTAGTTATTTTCTCACTTGAGAAAGTTGAATTTTACAAAAACTTTTTGGTGCCGATTTAAAAGATAGTTGCTCAACCAATTTAATATATCGCCATCAATACCGTATTGCCGCAATTTAAATATAAGCCCTTTGTGCCATACCCTATCGAATGCTTTCGAAATGTCACAAAAATATCATACATGTAGATTGTTTTTTGTCAAAGGCTTGAGTAATTTGATGATAAATATCAATAAGTTGAAAAAACGGTGGAATGACCCGGTAAAAAACCCAGACTGTTGGTGATATATAAGATTATTAACATGTAAATGATTATAAATGTGCTTAAAAACAATTCGCTCAAATACTTTACCTACACACTTATTAGAGAAATGGGTCTATAATTCATAGGCATGTTTTTACTGCCCTTTTTTATATATTGGCATTACAACTGCTGATTTCATGAATTAGGGTAAATATTTTCGACTAGAGATCTGTTAAATAAAATACCTAGTGGAGCACAGACAGAATATCTTGTTTCTTTTAGCATTGTATGACTAATTTCATCTGGTCCACTTGCTTTATTTGTAATTAACGTTATTAAGATATCACTTATTTCCTGATCGCTTATTTGTAAACTAGAAAATTTGACATTACTTTTAGAAACAAAATCTGGTAGGGACGAATGGGTGTCGTCTACAGTTGAGACTGAAACAAAATAATCGTTAAGACAATTTGCTTTTTCTAGATCGGTGAAGAAGTAAGTTTTGCCAGGCGAATTTTCTATGTAAAGTGGGGGAATACTCTCACAACCTTTGTTTTCTTTAATTAACATTTTTTACGGTTTTCCAATATTGCCTGGGATTATTACAATTAAGATCAGATATAGAAAGTTCTAAGTTATTATAAAACTTCTCCTTTGCATGTTTAATCATATTGCTCACTTTATTTCTATACCGTTTGTATATTAACCAGTCAGATTCTTTATTTTGATCTAATTGCTTTACATTTCTGTCTATCCCCGTTTACGACTCATATTTCTTATTACTGAATCATACCATGGTTTATCCTTAGGCCTTATTGTGATGATATTTGTAGGTATACATTGTTGAGCTAAATTATGGAACCTTTTTGTAAACAAGTCACAGGCTTCGTCAATAGTATTTAAATTTAGAAAAAGACCAATCAGTTGTGTTAATTAATTCATTAAACTTTACAAAATCCGCTCGTTTGTAGTTCCATATACGTCTCTTATAAGGTATAGAGGGTAAATGGGAAGATTTAATAAATACATACGTTCCAAAATGGTCACTTATTTCTTTTGGAGTGCAATGAATTCCTGACGTTAAAACAGTTAAATTATTTTGAAATTACTATTGGATCTAATAGGGTTGATGTTCGAGCAGTAACACGTGTTGGATCAGTAA